ATGCTACTAGTAGCGATGCCAGGAGCCCCTAGTAGCGTCCTTGCTTCTAGTAGTAAGGCCAGGAGCCCCTAGTAGCTTGTTCCTAGGTGCATGCGCGCGTCGCCTTAGTCGCTGAAAATCCATGAAAATGCGCGTGCATCGCTCCACGTCAGCTCGACGGCACCTGGTCGAGGGCTTGCAGCGGATCATGGTCCTGCAGAGCATCGCCAGCGTCTCGGAACAGAAGATCGATGCCTTGGAGCCTCAGGAGACTTTCGCTGAGAGAGGGGGGCGAACCTTGGGGGATGAAAGGATCTGCTTTATCCTGCTTTCAGGGTGAGGGATGTGAGGGTCTTTTCGCATCTTTTCGCATCTTTTCGCTGTGTTCGGCTGGAAGTGTCTTGGCAAAGCTCTTGCAAGGCTAGGACTAGGAGTTTCAGATGGTTTTGTTGGGGGCTTGCGCTCAAGTACAAAGTAGAGTGATCAGACATCCGCACAGGTCATCTCACACGTCAACCACACATGGGATGTGTGATGCGGAGAGTTTGCCAAAGTGGCCACATGGACGCCAGGAGCTTCGGCTTCGACTTGCCCACTTGGAGAAGGCGTGGACAGCGCACACGCGGCTTCCAAGGGTCGGTTTGCTACCACGCGCTCGGTTTGCTACACGAGAGACATGTCATCATGAATCCGCGCAAAGCTTGTCCTTTTCTTGATCGCTCTATAGGACCATGAAGTCGACCATGTTTTTCTGCTCCGCCACGCTGAAGAGGGCGCATATATTCTTGCGGCCATGGCATGGCCATGGCAGGTCGCCCAGCAACAGCGGGAGGAGGCGTCGGCCGCATCGGCGCTGCTGGAAGCAGAGAACCGACAATTGAAGCGAAGCCTGGCAGACAAAGAGGCCAGGGAACCGGGACGACCCGACCCCCACCGGCGAAAAGAGCGATCACCGGAGCGGCGACAGTGGGAAGCGGATGGACGGGGGTGAAGGGGGGTTGTTCTGCATGGACGCGCAGGGCGAACTATGGGATCGGACCACAAGAACTGCAAGCTTAGCAGTGAGCAGCCTTAGCACTGAACGGTTCCCTGTTGGTTTCTTCAGTCCGGGTTTTCCTGTATGTTGAAGACACGCACATGTCGCCATCTGGTCAGAAAGTTCAGTAGCAAAACGTAGGCGAACGATGGCGAACGTGAGTACTGTGTGTGCTCGCTTGTGCACGGTTTGGCTGGCAGGATGAGCTTGTGATGCTCAGCAGTAAGCTTGAACAGCGGACTCTTGGTGGCAGTCGGACTGCCGGTCGGAGTCGCATTCACATGTATGTCGTCGGTCCCCGTGCCCACCAGAACTTACCTCAACTTGGTGTATTGGGCACTCATGGGTAACCTCTGAAAGGTGCCATCGTTGATTTGTCCAAACGAGACTTGCCAGCGGTCTATCGAAACTACGAAATGCTATCGAATTCACTATAGATGTTCAGCTCGGATGAAAAGATCCAACATCCGAGCTGGGACGGATCACAGTCACTCCAGGGCTTCTGCTGTGGACAGCCTGGTGCTCAGTCGACGAGCTGTGTACCAGAGTGGCCTGTCAGTTACAGTACGTGGCACGGTCATCATTTCATGCTTGGGTTATTTTGGGTTCAGGTTGCAATCGGTCGCAATGTAAGCTCAGTTGACTCGAGCGTCACTCCACACATGACCAGATTCTTTTGTGCAATCGAAGATTGTTGATTGAATTGGCAGCCCATGACTTAAGGTGAATTGGTCACTCTGACTCCCAAGCAGGCTGCGCGGATCAAGGCATTCCCAGCGATACATGCAAAAAAATGGTTAGGTGTCCCATCGATGTGAAACCTCAAAACCTTTCGAATAAAGGCCTCAAAGGCCTCCAAGCATTTGCGCAGTGGTTCATCATCTCGACCTGTCCGCGAACCACGGCGAACCTTCACCGATTCCTGACAAATGTGTCGACCGTTCGCAGGGCGACAAAGCGGCCGTCGCAGGAAGCTGACGCGAAGCTCGGCCACTTTGAATCGCACGAGCGTGCAGTGATCGAGGACATTCGCAAGGCACCTGCGGCACAGCGAGTTATTATTATGAGTTATTGTATAAACACATGTGGTAGTGATGTGAACTGTGAAGCTAACATTGACTGACTCAGTGAGTCATTGTGAGTTCACAGTTCTATGATGTTCGTTCTGTGTCGTGTTCACGTGTCTCTTGGTCCAACGGACTGACGGCGCTTTCAATTTACCGGATGTTGAAGGAAGTTCCTGTAGCAGGAAGCATGAAACGTGTCAACCACGTCGCCAATCAAATTTCAGCTTGCAAAAGCGTGGGCGTTTTTTCTATGTGACCACGTCCTGAATGAACCTCGAATCGTCAGGCTAGACTCGCAGATGTAGACGCTGATTCGCTGCCAGAGGAGCTGCGGGCATGGTGGGTTTGCACCATTTGGACGTTTCCAGTGGATCTTTAAGCACTCCAAATGATCGTTGGATATTGTATATACTATATATATATATATACATCTATATAAGGAAAAGGCAGCTTCCATCCGATGGCATCTCTTGTGTGGTTTCGGTGGTTTTGGTGTGATGAAGGAGTGAGGATCAGTCCACCCCAGTTTTAATCAACAATCCCAGAAGCATCGAATCTCAGTTTCATGATTGTTTGTTTTATGGTTTTTGACGTTCCTGCTCTTGCCATGGCCCTCGCAGTCGCAAAAGCTAGCTTTAACCTGATGTTGTTTGGCAACAGGAGACCATGGGCCGACGAAAAGATTCAACTTCACCCTGACTTGCGGATCCTTATTGACTCATTGACCTCATTTTTGTTGTTATCTCGTCCTCATCATTCCTCAAGTTAAGTCTCGCTACCCTACCATTACCGGTGGGCAGGATCTGAGACGAGGCGTGCTAGAAATGAGACGCTCTCTCACAGCAGCTGTGGATCGCTTGGCCACTGGGCGCCTTTTTTTTGGGACGGGAAGGCGGCACAAACTGTGGGTTGGTTCGGTCTGGATGGTATTTGTGCGCCATGATGGGTGAGCCATGTGTAGGTGGAACAGGCAACAGGGGGGCCTGGATGGCAGCGGCTTTTGATGTCACTGTGCCATAAAGATCGAAATAGCTCCGCTGCCACGGGTCACGATGCACATTGGACATGATGTTCTCAATTAGGGGATGATGCCCTGGTTTACAGTTTTCTTTGATGTATATATTTGGTCCCCAAATAGATGATATGATGTGTACAGAGTATTTTCTTCAGCAGAAGAATGTAATCATTACATAGATAGAATTCTACAAAACATGTTTTTCCCATGTTGGTGGTTGTGGAGGAAAGAACAGAAAAACCAATGGAGAACACAGCCAAGACCTGGGCCCAACGTGGGCGCCCCACACTGACCTGGTTGGGCCCGGCTCCCGGGCCAAAGTATGTTCGTCGTGTTCCAAGGCCCGAGACCTGTATGAGTCGCAGGCACACTTTCTTCAGGAGAACATCAATCAATGAGTTGCTGTCGCGACTATAGTGACTATAGTGATGCACAAAGAGAAAAACTGAGGCAGCTCCAAAAACATCAACTCTTTGGTGTCCTACTTTTTGGAGGGCATGATTTGATCAACGTGATCCACATGATCCAAGTCTCCGATGATAGCTGGGACTGATTGTACTGTGTATTCACAATAGAGCCTGCGGGCACAGCCCTCTGAAACCTTGCAAAGACCGTTAAAATCCGCCCGCACCAAAGGTGCTGAGGCGTTGTGTAGGCTTCGCGCAAACCGCAAGATAGCTGCTGGATGCTGCTGGATTAATCCGCTTAATAAGCTGTGGCTTGTTGTTTTAATGCTGTTTTGAAGATTTATAAAGAGTGATATCGTGTGTATGATTGTCCGTAGGGCTTCGTTCGCGATGCCGGATATGAAATTTGGGGGACACTGCATTATTGACATCATGGGTGTGTTCGTCCGTGTGTCCTGCCCGACCGAGACAGACAGACACACGCACTCCGTGCGGGCAGCTTCGAGCGCGAAGCGCTGTGAATATGTGTGCACACGATACCGCAGATAACTGTGTCTTGTGTGGAACTGCGTTCGGCTTCTGGTATTTTGGTGCCTGAGTTTTGCTTGAGACTGCAGGAGCTGCTACAGAATGTCCCAAGCTCAGACTTTTGATCGTTGCCTGCTGTTGTTGCTGCGGATCAATGTGCGGACTGTTGGAGATATACTCATCATGCAGACCAGCTTCAGCATGATTTGTCCGGTTGCTTTGCCCTTTCTAAGAAGCAGCATTCCCTCTAACAAGTAAAACACCTCAATCAACTCCTTCTTCCCCTAATGGTTACCGCATTCAGCCAAGCACTGTACCCCAGGCTGACGACAACAACTACACGGAGGGCATTCTGCCGAAACTCGACTTGGTGCTCCGTGGCAGGCAGAAGACTCCGTGGTGCTTCGTGACGGTCGACCGCTCCGGGCGATCGATTTCGGAGGGCACGCAGAATGATAATCCCCTACAGGTCAGTTGGACCTCATTTTACTGCAAAGGGTCATACAAAAGCAATCAAAAGCCCTACTCAATTAGGCAAAGGACCTGGGTTTTTACTGGGTCTTTGGACCTGTAGGGATCGCTTGACATGGATGTGGAATGGGAGGATGACAGTTTTCCTCTACCCAGCGGGGTTATCCATGTCCATGCTACTAGTAGTGAGTCAGAGTGTACATACGGCATACAGCATAATGAATATATGGTTCATATCTCTAACAATGCGTAATGTGTAAACAATGTGTGTCTAATTGTGTCGATGCAATTGTTGACCACGCATCATTGTATATTCACTTTATTATAATATATATTACTATATACAGACACGATGTGGCTACATCAAGAGTTGAATGATGACGGCAAGCTCAACTTGATTGAGTTCAAAGCACCTTTGGGGTTCCATTGTTGGGCTGTTGAGGCCAACAACAACAGCAACAGAATATGTGTTTTGTGTCTACCAGATGATCATCGTTCACAACTTAAAAGCCAAGGCATCTTGGAACGATACAACGGTAGAGCCTTAGAACAGTAGTGGCAGCCCGAGGTACCAAATCATTCTCACAAGCAAACAAAGTCGCTTCGATTGTCATGTGCCCTGCTTGTTGTCACACCATGTCAATGCTTGCAAAAAATCCACTATCACTGTGTTGTCCTGGACTCTTGTAAACCACAACGTGTTCAGTGCAAATCTTGTTTTATGATGTTTCATGCGGTTAAATAGGATGATAGTTCACCCGCGGTTTGTGGGTCAACTCCTTCGTGACCTTTGTCCGGTTGCAGAGTTCTAGAGTGACTCAAAAGAGCAACATTGGAGATAAACCCGCTGGTTTGGGGGATTCCTTGGTGATCCCAAACACGGAAAGTGAATTGTTCCTCCAACCTACTAGCCATGACCTCCCCCCGGCCTCCAACCTACTGGCCATGACCTAATAGCGATGGCCTCCAACCTACTAGCCATGACCTCCCCCCCTAATAGCGATGGCCTCCAACCTACTAGCCATGACCTCCCCACTAATAGCGATGGCCTCCAACCTAATAGCAATGACCTCCAACCTACTAGCGATGACCTCCCCCTTAGTGGCAATGACCTCCAACCTAATAGCAATGACCTCCAACCTACTAGCGATGATCTCCCGCCTAATAGCGATGGCCTCCAACCTAATAGCAAACACTCCTTGCTGATTTTGGCTCCGGAAAGTGCCCCATCCAGGCCGCCCGACTCGCACCTGGCACCATATTTCTTTGCAGCCCGGGCCCACAGAAGCCCAACCACAGTGCCACAGTTGGGCAGGAAACGAGGAGATCCTGGTAAAGCAAACAAGGGAGATCCCGCATCGAGGAAACGAGGAGTATTTGCTGGAACTTTGGATCGACAGGAGTTGGTCGTTTGTTGGATCCATGAAACTGTCACAGCGATGTTCTGAGATGTGCTGTTTTATACTTTTTTCTAAGCAGTTGGGTAGCAGTTCGGGGGTCTTATGCTAATAGTTAAGGCCGGGTTTGATCGAGGTGATCCATCGGCGTGTGCGGCTAATTCACTGCTATTTATGGTGCATTCATTCACTTCGAAATCTTCGAAGTGCATTTCGACTGCGCAGCCTCGCAGAATCTGCTCGTTTGCTCTAATTCCATGGCAGATGCAGTGAAGCGTGGTTCACATGTGTGCTGTCAGATGCGTGCTCTTATGTGTGTGTTTGGTCTCATATGTACTCTCATGTGTGCTCTCGCACGCGTGCTCTATATATATATATATGCTCTCATATGTGCCCGACCTGTAGATCTCTAGGTCTACATTAAAGGGTGTTTGTGGATATCTTGGCCATTTAGGATTTCTGACCTAAAGGTCTTGATATCTCCAAACAGCTCTACGCCCTAGATATCCGCCGAATCTTTGAATTTTTCTGACCTCTAGATCTCTACATCTCTAGGCCTTTGGATCTCTCTGGATCTCAAGACCTCCCTGGATATCAAGCCCTCTAGACCTCGCGATCTAACTAGACTTCTACATCTCTAGAGCCCAATACCTTAAACCTCAGACCTTAGGATTATGACAGTGGTTTTTATTGATTGAAATAAGTTCACCTGGAAAAAAGTCTATTGTTACACAGGAGAAAGTTCGGTCTTTTCTTGCGGAGCAGAAAATCAAATCTATCATTGCAACCTACTAGACAAGCAGGCTGATTATGTGGAGGGGTAAGTTACTGCAAGTTTATTGTTGCAAACAGTTGATTTAAAAACATATAAAAAACATGTTTGTGTTGGCAGGCATTCACAATTGTATGTTTGTTATCTTCGCGAGGGGTACTCTTTGCAGAGATGTGTTTTATTTTTTAAGTGAATTTTAAATGTTGAGCTAGGCCCACATTGATTTTCCTGAGACATTGTAATTGGTTATGCAGTGTTTAAACTTATTAACCAACTATGTTTAAGAGGTTTTACCGTCAGTGTATTTTGGTGGAGGAGTAAGTCAAGTTCAAAATTGTATTGACAGTTTCTCAATATGTTCCATTTTGTTTGTACAATATGTTGTATTAAGTTTATACGTTTTGTGGAAACATTGGCTTATAATATTAACTGACCGACTCCCTATTCTCACCCTACTGAAAAAGCGGGTTTATTGTGTTGAAAGTCGCTGATTATTGCATGATGTCGGTAGCCAGGATATTTTTAGGTTTATGATTGGCTCGTGGTTTACTATTGTGATGTGAACATTATTGGATACGTGAGTTTGCCAATGATGTAAGAACACGCGAATTCGCATGTTGGATCCATCAAAAGATGCATTCATACACATTATATATATTAATATATATGCACAAGTTTTGTCCGTTTTCCCAATGACCCAAGTGGTACACCTCCCCGACACCGAGGCCAATAACGAGGTTGGCTTGACCGAGGCCTTTCCGGATTCGTTGGCGCCGAGCCCACCGAGCTGTCCAACCGTGTCCGGTTTCGGTCGGAGCCGATCGAGAGGTGGATGTGCGCGCTTTGTGCGATATCTCGAGGTCTTCAAAGACACAGGCTCGCGATGTTGAGTGGAACAATGTCGCACAGGAAATTGGCAGAGTTTGGGACCCCTGCGGAGGGGCAGTGCTTCGCGTTCCTATGAACCATAGATGCTGTTTGGTGGTTCCCCCCGTTAAGGTAAAACCTTTGCATATATATATATATAGGAAGCAAAACGTGAAGATACGTGAAGTTTCATGTCAGGCTGGGACGACCACGGGCTACAAAGGAGTGGGCTGGAAATCCGTCTTCCGCGTGTGCGAAACGCCCCATGTCCCTGGCCGAAATTGCGTGTTTGTTGGGATGTTGTTCAGTGGCGAAAAGCCAGACAAACAAAGTTTTGGAGGGAGGCCCTGTTTTGCTTCCTGGATCCTAGATACCTCAATCATTAGATGTTGGATGATATAGAAAGGACATTGAATATGAGATTTGAACAGTGTTGAACATATATGTGTTTGAGATGTAGCATTTCGCTTGGTAATGTTTCGTCTAAATGTTCCCATGTTTTGCTTGTTTGGCAAACTCGTCTCCCCGCAAACTGTACAAACTGCGACACATCAAGACACCTCGAAGGGTGAAGCCGTGCCGGGTCCAAGGTGCTATCGCAGAAATGGCGTTTCAGATTCTCATCCAGTGGATTGGGCATGTCACTCGGCAAAAAATACATTATTTGTTAACTGCGCTATGTCTTTTCACGAAAGCTAGCGAAGCTAGCTGGAGTTACTCTTGCGATAGCAAGGTTTCTTTCGACCGGGTGCAAATCCTAACCCCTGATTTTTCAAGTCGAAGACCCCCCCTGAAAAGTAGAGCCTACCTGTACAGGGTTCCACTCCAACAGCTGATATAGTGTGTCCATGCTTGACTGCTTCAAGGCTCAAGAGAGGGTCAATGGACCTAAAGAGCAAGAGGATAAGACTCTGCGCATAAAAGACACTAGCGGTCTGCACCTCTACCGTGTACGCCCTAGTCACTCTTTCAGTGGTAGCGGAGCAGTGATCCTGGAAGACCCAGGTGAGCTCCTTTCCTAGGCATAGACTTGCTAGTGGGCAAACGGCCATGGATTGGATTGACGACTGGGAAGAGCCTGATGCGGATGTGGCTTATGAGCCAGCAGCCTACGTGAATAGGCATGTGAGAAGAGAACCAGCAGCAATAGCAATGACAACACAGGTCACTACAAAGGTGCCCCCATCTTATGATGGAAAGACTTCATGGTTTTCCTATGAGGATGCCATAGACGATTGGTGTGATATCACCGAGCTGGAAGATGAGAAGAGAGGACCAGCTTTGAGAAACAGATTAGAAGGAGAAGCAGCAGTATACAAACGTGTATTAGACAGAGATTCATTGAAGGCTAATGAGCCACCAGGAGCAGGAGTAGATTACTTCAAACGAGTACTACGACCATATTTCGTGAAAGGATCAACCAATGTATTCCTATACAGGTTTATGCAATTCGTGCGATTCAATCGAGGATCAGCTGACATGATGAAATGGATGACAAGATTCCAGATTTTACTCCAAAGGCTTATGAGCAGTTGGATGGACATGTTAGAACCAGTCACTCAAGCACATCCCCAAGTCCTTGCTCAGATGCAGGCAGATGCAGCGTTGACTGGAGTAGCACCAACGGCAGAAAGGATTCAGGAAATCATGCAGAATGTCAATGGCAATATGAGAATTCTTCATCAGAATGATTTTCCTTTAGGAGAGAATCTCATTGCCCTACTCATGCTGTCCCTTGCAGATTTGTCTCAGGACCAGCGAAACACTTTGACTTCGTTGATGACTCATCGTGGCAGGTACCTGCAGCAATACACTACAACAGAGCTGAGGACAGTTTTCATCGAGATGTTCTGCACGACAAAGACTTCAGTAGACAATCCATTGATGCAGCCGACAGGTGCTGGAGGTAGAAGATCATTTCTCGTACTAGACGAAGGAGAACTCGATGGTACATTTGGCTATTGGGCCGAAGATGAAGAAGATGGAACAGAAGGATTTTTAGATGCCCTGGACGATGTCTTTTGGGTATATGATGATCAAAACTTCTCGTGGTTCCAAAGGAGATTCCAAGGAAGAAGAGCCAGAAAAGGCAAAGGAAAAGGTAGAAGGAAAGGAAAAGGAAAAGGAAGATCAGGCCGTAGATTCTTCAGACCTCGTGGAAAAGGAAAAGGAAAGAGACGAGGTAAAGGCCATTTTGCTGATGAGCAACAGACAACATATCCAGAAGAGTACTTTGAAGAGAATCCTTATGAGGATACTTGGGAGTCAAACCAAGTAGCATATGATGCCATTCTTGCCGAGGATATGAATGACTATCTTCAAGGAGAATATGATGATGCCAATGACTTCTGGCAACAGCTTGAAGAAGCATGGTTTTCCCACAAGGGAAAAGGAAAAGGCAAGAGAAAAGGCAAGAAAGGAAAAGGAAAAGATAAAGGAGATGGCAAACAAGATGCAAACTATGCAAATCAACAACAGCCACGTTCTTTACCTGCACCTTCAAGAACTTCACAAGCATCAGGAGGTCAACAAGGTTTCTTTGCACATTGTGTGACAGCAGCAGCTGAAGTCCATGACAGTGAGGTGGACTTGCTGTCAGGCATGATGACCTCATGCCAAGATGAAGCTGACTGCGTGGTCAACAATGGTGAGACGATCTTCGATGACATGAGTGCCCCTGTGAGGTACTCGTTGTCAAAGGAGATGCTCACAAAGGCTCCTGATGGCTTTGCGCTTATGAGCGCTGATGGCTTTGCGCTTATGAGCGCTGAGGAAGAAGTGAAGGAGATGCAGGCTATTTCATTTTTGACTGAGAATCGCTTCCCGCCAACTATTGCAATCCTGGACATTGGATGCACTAGAGCTATGGGATCAAGGCGAGCAGTCGACCATTTTTGCAACTATGTCGACAATCACCCAGATTGTGGATTATGGTACTCTTTTGAGTCTACCAAGAGCAAGTTTTACTTTGCCAATTCCCAGAAGGCTACTTGCTCTCAGAAACTGGTGATTTATATGTATGATCGTGCATGGACGATCCACCATACAGAGTTCGACATAGTGGAAGAAGGAGAAGTCCCTTTGCTTATGAGCTTGCCACAGATGAGGAACTTAGGCTTTGAACTCAGGCTGACACCTCAACATGCTTATCTGACATCGGTGCCTCTTGGTATCAAATTTTTGGAGTTGAAGGTTGCAGCCAGTACTCATTTTGTGTTGGACTTCCAAGATATTGCATGGTATCTGTCTGACGTGCGTTGGCAGACTCAGCGTGAGAAGAGTTTTTACTCTCACCTCACTCACTATGAATATGGCCATATTTCTGTTGAACACAATAGTGATGAAGGTGAAGCTGAGCATGCATATCCTGTGGTTGATTTCTGGGAAGTAGATGTTCACAAGAGAGAACTGATACGTCACCACAAGGATTACAGGAAAATTCTTTTCCCAGCAACTAAGTCCTGTCCTGTAGACACTGACTTGCTGGAAGACTTGCGACTGACAATCATCAAGAAGAAAGCAGGAGGAGAAGAAATCAAGAAGACAGATGATTGGCGCAAGGCAAAATGGAAGGACCTACAACTTGGCTATGAATGGCGTGGTAGAACAATTTTTAAATTTAAGCCAGATGCCAAAATTCCAGATCTAAAGATCAGGAAGGCTGGCATTGAGCACCGTGGCATTGGTGATCCCGATGCAGTGGTGCGCTCCTCCTCAGAGAAGGTTCCCATTGCAAAGGACAGGGAACCAGGCTTCTCGTCAGAGGAGGAAGGTGCACCATCCAGTGCCGCGGAAAAGCCCGTGCCGCCAAAGTTCCGGTATACTTCCAAGGGTTTTGATCCATTTTGGAAAGGACACAAGTCGAAACCATCTGAGCCTCAGAATGATTTAAAGGGTGATGATCTTGAGGAGTATGCTCCTTCAGAACCACCTGAGAGGCCAGAAGGTGAACTTGTAGAAATTCCTAAAGCATCAAAAGGACCATCAAGTGATAAACATGAACCACTTGAACCAGGTGATGGCGCTCTTGAGCCTAGGCGGATTTCAATCCCATTACCTGGTAGTGAAGTTGTTGCAATGACACCGGCATATAGGAAGATGTTACAGAGACTGGAGGACAAGGTAGAGCTTTATAAGCTTCATGTGAAGCACTACCATATGAGTCCTACTCAGTTTCGTAGACGTGTTTCTATGTTGAAGCTTCCTGACTCTGTTTTAGAGAAGTATGAATCAGTTGTCAGGAACTGCCGTGTTTGTAACACTTCAGTGGCACCTCCGCCACGAGCCAGAGTCTCCGGTATTAGAGCTTCATGTTTTGGTGATGTTGTTTTTGCTGATCATTGTGAGGTTGAACTTCACAAGAACAAGTATATCATCTTACTTGTTCTTGATGGTGCCACAAATCTTCTCTGGGCTACGGCACAGAAAGACCTCATAGATCAAACCACCATCCCAGCATTGAGGCAATGGTCTGATGAGAACAACTGTGTTCCAAAGGCCATCGTAGGAGACGAAGCCTTTTTCACCGATGCTTTTGTTGAATACTACAGGTTCCATGGTATACAACAATGTCCTTGTGGGCCAAGAACTCCTTGGCCGAACCGAGCAGAGACAGCTGTACGTTTGTTCAAACGTATGTGGCATGTTATGAAGGTAGATCTGGATGACCCACGTTTTCGTGGTGTTACGGTCAGAGAAGTGGTCAAGAAGGTAGTTTGGGCAAGAAATTGTCAGTTGACTATCAGTGGATATTCACCAATAGAGATAGCAACTGGAAGACGTCCACCAGATCTTTTTGACCTTGAGACCGCAAGCCCTGAGCAATTGTTAGCTAATGCCGCCGCACAAGATCGTACAAATTTGGAACTACAACGTGTGGCTTTGAGAGCTCATCAAGAAGCACGACAAGCTCAGGACCTTCGAGCAGATCTTGCAAGAAGGACTATGCCAAGTGACGGTCCTTATTTCCAAGGAGAGAAGGTTTTTGTTTGGACTCAGGATTCATCAAAGTTCAAGGATAAAGGACGTTGGGTTCGTGCCACAGTACTTGGACAAGAAGGAGCTATGGTCCAAGCCAATACTGGTAAGGCAGTGATACGTGTGAATCAGTCAAAGGTTAGACGTGATCACGATGAGTGGCATGATGTTTCCATTCCGGCATTAGACGATGAGAATCCGGAGAACTTACGTGAAGATCACGAACTGTATGTTGATGCCGAATTCGGAGAACAGTCCTTTTTCTTCTGTACTGATGATCATCCTGATGTTGTTGAGTTACTTCATGGAAACAGTGGATTATCTTGGTTCCTTTCAAAGAATGGTGTTAAAGTTGCATCTCCTATGGATTTCAAGGCAGGATACAACTTTTCCACTATGAAGGGTCAAGATGGTATTTGGCAGCAACTGGAGAGATTGCAGCCCCACTGTATAGTGATCAACAACCCTTCTCCCAAACAGAACAGAGCTTCTATTTGGTTGCTATGTTGTAATGTGATTGAGTGGCAGTTGAGAAGGAAGAAACATGTGTTTGTGACTGTTCCCAAAGGAAACAAGTTTTGTTTGTTTTTGCAGAAGTTCATTTCTTCGTTGAAGGATCCGATTTTTAACTTTGATGTGAATATGAATTGTTTTTGTTATTGT